CCCCCCCCCCGCCCCCGGTCTCCGGTTCTGGAAGCCTGAAAATGCTTGGCGAGATCGACGTTGTTGGGGGGCGGACAGAGGTAGCATGGACATTGAGATGGGGGGGGGGGGGCTTCGCTTACATGCACAGCCAGGGGTTGGGACGCAGCGAGTATTTGTTCTGCACCGTGGCCCCTGGATAGCACGGAAGGCACGTCGCTGCCCCAGGCGTGCATATCCGCCGCACTCCCCGATGCACGCCCTTCCACCTCCCCCGATGTCACAACCTGGCCATTTTTGAGGCTCGATTTTCTCGCATTCATTTTGCTGCAGCAGCAACCGTTGCAAAGATGCTACGTTCGAATCGTTGCCAGCCGGGTTGGATGCAGCTGGCGAGGCTTCCATGAGACGTCCGAGGTGCAGCCCATGCGATCGACTGCTGTGCACTGATCCAACAGCCTCGAGTCAACATGCACACGGCCCTCACTATCGCACTTGTTCCCCCGGTTGCCAGGTGGGCTAGCTGAGATGGAGGCCGTGCATTTGTCAGGCGGGACTCAAAGTTCAAGGGCCGGTCGCCATCGACACCAAGTGGACCGAGATGCAGCGAAAATGCCGAAGCGCGCCGCCTCGCGCGACGAGAGAGCTGGAAGAGGTGTTGGAGCAGCAAGGTCGACTGAGACCAACACCGAACGTCAGTTTGGAAGCGCGCCGAAAAAATCCGGGCGCACGAGCAGAGGCAAGCGGGTGTGCGCGGCTCGTCCGAGCACCGTGCAGGCACGCGCAGCTGGCTGCGGGGCTGCTGCTGCTGCTGGCATGCGCACGCGTCTGCGACAGGCACGAGGCGCAATAGCCGACCGGCCGTGCAGCGCACCGAAGCGCATTACGCCGAAGCTGCCTCCCGCACCCCTCCGACTCTCCCTCTCTCCCCTCGCGCGTCCCCAATCGAGTCAACGCAATCACAACGGCGAGAATTCCGATCACAAGAGCCAGAGAGCGCCTGCTCCGATCTCGTTCTAAGATCACCAGCTGTGTTGAGCGGTGGGGACATTCGGCGGCGAGGCACGAAAGAGGCGGCGGCTGCTGCAAGGTGTGCGCGGGGTGAGACAGCTTGGAGCCAGGACAGCGCCAGGACAGCGCCAGGACAGCGCCAGGGTAGCAGCGAGGCAGGCTCGAGGCAGAGTCAATGGCTCCGATGCACTCCACCTCCGAGAGTCCGAGACGTTTGGCATGCATGAGCGCTTCCGCCTCTGCCTAGCTGCAACGCAACGGCGCCTTCGGTGAGATGTGCATGGCGCACCTGCGATTCGGACCGCGGTGCTGCCTTTGAGCTGCCTTGCTACTTTGACAGCTGCTACAGCCAAGGCCAAGCGCGCTCTCCCGCCGCCTGGCTCGGTACCAGCAACCATCGGCGCCGCCTGTGCAAACATCCCCCCCCATCCACCGCTCCAACAGTCGGCCTCGGAGCTCGTACCGCAAGCTCATGCATGCTCGAGCGACGGGCGTGCAGCATCATCCCGGCCTCGCCTCGCTCATGGCGCGCCACGCACAGACGTCAGCTGCCCTCGCTTACACCCGCGACTGCTTGGCTCCCATCAGTGCTGCGGATGCCATCAGTGCTGCGGTTCAGCATGCCATGCTTGCCAGCTGAGTATATGTATCCACGAGTTCCATCCATCCCTCGCCCAAACCCCCTTCTCTCTCCCAACCTCTCCACTCCCCTTAACGGCCACCTTTCCCCCACCGCGCTCCTAGACACTCGCTCTCCATCCCCCTTCCCCTTCCCAATACTCTGCCTGCCACTGCCTCACCTTCATTTGAACCGCTCCGCTCTGCTCTGCTCCGCTCTGCTCTGCTTTGACCTGCTCAGTCTCGAGATCGTCTCTACACATTCATTGGCCCCGTCGCGTCCACATCTGCATATCCTACACGCCGCTCCATCTCTCGTTCAAGCAGCATACAGCACATTCCAACCGCAGACTGTCTCGACGGATCCTGAACGCTACAGCATCCTCCAGTCTTTGCCCCGAACCC